TATTGAAAAATAGACCAAAAAAAATGTTTGTGCTCTAGAGCTGGAATTTGGTGATAATGTGCGAATTGCAATTCAAATTTGACACATTTTTTACTTTGGCGGTTTTTCAGAAACATCATATACTGTGAATTTTTGGGAAAATTAGAGGTAACGCGATTATATCGCTTCCGTCACGGTATAAATCTGCATTCTTTATCCGACCATTGTTTTTGATACAAATCTCTTTTTTCTTATTGCACAAGAATACGACATCACGAAAGCTTTCCGACTGAAGGTTTTCAAGGTTTACGTGATCCTAATGTCTGATGATTGGGAAGAGCAGACACAATTCTAGACAGCTACCGTACTGTAGTCAACGGATCGAGCTAACTTATCACTCCTCTCATTTTGTCTCAAGCCAAACAACCCAGTTCTTCACTGTCACTTTTTTTCATTTCTCTCCACGAAATTGTTTTTATATAACGCTTCAATAATTTTGATATGGGGTGACTGAAAACGTTTTCCATATGCTCAAATCGGCCTCTAGAGATATTTTAGTAAGGAGTGAATGGCTGACGCTCATTGGACTCAATTATGCTTCATTACCATTGGAATGACGGAGAAGGTGTAGTGGCAAGTGACGCGCTGCAAAGCATGCAGCAAGCATGACCGTGGATCAAATCCCTGATTGAGGTTGGCTATGGCGAACCAAGCCTTCCATCCGCCTTGGGTTAGTTACTTGGTACCAGAGTCGTCTGAGAGACTAGCAGCACTGACTTGGACCCACCGCGGCGAGTTCAGGTACAGGCCACGTTCTAATCATCAATTTTAATGGAATCTGAATTCGTTGGCGCATCCCAACAAATGCATTAGTAAGCGTCAGAAACTAGATCCTTCTATTTATATATGATATATACAGTAGCGCTAAAAAGTCTTTCTGCCAAATGCTTTTTCAGTCGTAGTTTTCAGTCGTAACTCCTTTCCGACTGGATCTATCATGCGAAATTTCAATGTGTAGCATGGGTGTGTTATGAACATTTACCACTATCAACCTGCAAGCGGGTCATATTCCATAAATCCCAAAAAAGCTTGAACTCAAAATCAACTGAAAATACGAGCGACGACACTTCTAGAATTCTTCTCGTGTTGCCATGTCTAAAGTGTACGAGCGCTGATGCCAAACACAGTAGAGAAGAAAAACGCACATAAGGTGCGAATAACTGCAGACGTCAATAACTTTACTATTAGCGAAGTCTGCCACCGAAGCAAACACCTTCCTTTAACTATGTGGATATTGCTGCTTCGCAGTCAAATAATGTTGAACAGTGTGAAATATGCTTCAGTTGAACCTGTCAAAATTTCGCGCGATTTGATTCACTAAGAAAAGAACGAAAAAGCATAAGAGCATTTGGCCGAAGACTTCTGAGCGTTACTGTATGTTTATGTATGTATAATACACAGGTTCAAAGAATGGAGTCCTACAGTACACAAATACAACTACTCAAAAATTCAGATTCAAAGCGCCTTATAATAAATAACAAAAACCCTAAATTTTCACCTTCAAAGTTGAGAAATCCCCGAAGTTCAAGTTAGCGAGGCTTGCTCACACACGTCATAAAGTTAATGCAAAGCTTCTCCGTTGTTTGCGACCATTCTTATTGAATATGAGTACTTGCCTTGCCAGTTAGAGGATCATCTGACAGAGAAAGTAAAACAACGTTCATAAATTCTCAGAAATTCGATTTCATGAAGAATGACGAGTTGTCTATGAGCTTTTGCAATCCGTTCCTCTGTTAAGTATGACGTGACGCTGTTGGAAACTCATCAACAACGTGTTAGTTTGCTGGGGTACGTGAATTGAAGATCATCGGTTATATTTTTGAATCTTGACTGATGAGATCAATTGGGTTACTGAATCACTACGTGGCTTTCAAAGGTGGTCACTTCGCTTTATCTCTCGCTCTCGAACTTCACACATGACTCACCAGCGTAATCGGAAGGGTTGAAAACTGAATGGGCACACGTAGGTTGCCTTTTGTATTTCGGATTAGAGCACAAAAATAACTGTTAAACATTGGAAATCGCTTAACTGCCTTTTAAAAATCTCCACATTAAGATCTATACACTTTCACATGCGTTCGAACCAATTGTAGAAGCACTTTTGCCACTTTGATTGAGGTCACTCTAAAACATGCATTCTGAACGCATCAACGGCTTCTTCAGGTGTCGAAAAACGTTGACCCTCTCATTTTATTTTTTACGTACGGGATAAGAAGAAGTCGCCCAAGGACTAGATGGCTGATGACTTATCAAATCATTGTTTTGAGTGGTAGAAAATGCAGTTGTTCGAGCCGATGTGTGGGAGCTCGCATTGTCGAGGTGATCAGTGATCCGTCTTCGGCATTTGNTCCAAAAAAAAAAACAAGAGACCAATTGCTTGGAAGTGCTTGGTGCGCGGACAGCTTTTGTTGGATTTCGCTCATCTTGAAATACCCATACAGTCGACT